TTCTGTTATTTAGCTCAGCAGATGAAAAGGTAAAGATTCACCAATAAGCATTTTAGAACTTTGTGCCTGTGCACCCTTGCAATTAGCTGCAAAAATAATTGAGACTTACTATGTTTTAAGTATGGTAAAGCACGATTTCTGAGGCCAAACTTACTCTTCTATATGGACTTGTAGAAGTATTTGCTTATTTAATGCAAGGAAAGTTAGCAAATACTACACCTGATGCATATTACAAGGATTTATTGTAGAAATACAAGAAATTATAGCCCTGCATTTCATTTGAAAGGAGTAAGACAAGGAAAAATAACATTAAAGAATGGTGTGCCAACCAGGTAATTTAAGACATGAATGATTCAGACAGGCTGATTCTTGATACTGTGTTACTGAGTCATCATCAGTGCAGCCTGGTATAAAGAAATGTTTTGTTTTTTATTGCTTTATGTAGTTGTTGACTGAATGACACTGCATTATATCAGCAAAATATAAACAGAATCACATCCATAGTAACTCATACATTAGAGTAATTGGTAGGTGATTTTTGCCACTGAAGGGGTCCAGCTCTGGTGCAGCCAAATTCTGAGGAAACAGATCAGGATTTAGCTCAATACTAGACCAGCTCAAAAGAGAGCGTGAAGTTACCTAATCAGTAACACATGGCCAGAACTGAAACATATTTATTGAAAAAAGAGCTGGAGAAATACAGCACGAGAAGATAAGGCAGTGGTCTCTCCGTGGCTTATTAAAGTTTGGAAATGTGCATCCTAAAAGACTAACTTGCCCCATAATGTTGCAACTCATTCAAAGTTGGTATTTTTAATTTAAAAGGAGCACTGTCATTTGAAATGAAAAGTTGAAACATGAATGGATATTTTTAATTGTAGTGCTTTACAATGCATAAACAAATGTTCAAAATTTACTTAAAAAAAAAAAAAAAAAAAAAGTTGATTTCTTTTTGTTTTTTTTTTTCCCCCCAAAAGGAAGTATAAAGCCAAAGGGCTCGGGCACTGTTGAACTGGTTCATCTGGCTTGCTCTTGAGTAACAGATGCTGTTGCCTGACTGAAAATAATCAGTCAGGATTGACTGAAGGGTTAGGTCTGATTATGACAGCCAATATAAGACAAGCCTACGTATGGCAGCTGCCATCACACTGAAGGGACGGAGTTTCTAAGCCACTGTCACTTGCCTGCTTTCTTCTAACCAGAAAATTTTGCCTCTTTCCCTACCCCAGCCTCTAGCAGAACTGAATGCCTTGTTACTCGTTAACAATATCCCGTTAAAACCATTTGAGTGAGTTTAAATACTTCATAGTGAGGGATTAAAAAAAAATAAAAAATGTCTGAATCAATTTTGACAGAACTGGGTTAGAGGAGACGGGATCTGCAATGATGCCACCAGATGGGAAGGTGCAGCCATCTCCCTTGGGATGGGTGGTGAGGCCCGAACAAGCAGCCTGGGGACATCTGTGTGGGCCTTAGCCAGAGAAGTCTGTCTGACTGGACATCTCTTTAGTCCTACCCTCATCTTCAGTGCATTTCTGAGTTAACAAAGATGTGTAAGGTTATCGCAGCATCAGTGAAATAACAGCATCAGAATGTCTGAAGAAAGAAGCAATTGCAAAAAAACATAGGAATTATTACTGTACTTTGTAGATTTTAGGGGTGAGGAGGAGCAGCTTTGTAACCTCTTCAATGCTGTGATTAATTTGACTTTGGATGTCGCAGTTGCTGTTAAAATTCATTTTCTTCCTTTCACTGAAGGCATCAGGAACTCTTCACACCTCTCCATTGTAGTTACTGAGCCACAGGAGGATACTATTCAGGGTATCTGACGGTGTTACAAAGATAATGTCATCTGAGGGAGTCCTTTCTCCTTCCATGTTCCTCTTCTTCTGTTTGTCTCCCATTGCCACCCCTACATTGCTGTACTTCAGCCTCTCCAGGGTCATCTGAGCCTTCCTGCAGTCCAGCTTCTTGTGGTGCCCACAGACAAAACCCCATGGGTATTGCTGAGGAGGAAGCAAACTGGTGTGGTGAAAGAGAAGAAGCCCAGGCTTCTGAAACTGGTTTTGCTGCTGAAGCCAGTGGGAAGTGAAGCAACCACTGAGACAATCATTCCTCATATTATTCAGATGTAAATACATTGAAATGTTCTAGAAATAGTTTGGAAGAGTGTACAGATGATTGAGCACAAGTATGACAAGTTCAACTTTTTTTAGGATGAATAGTCTGAGAATATTCACACTTTTTTTGCTTTTAACCATGACAAAACAAGAGCAACCAAATTTTGCCTTTGGCTTTAAGATTCATAGTACATTGCTGTGCCATGTGTTTAATCTAATTACTGTAGCCAATTACATTTAAGAATTTCTGTTTATATGCATGAGAAATAAAGCATTTGCGTAACGTTTTAGATCCTGTAGAAAAATTGCTCTTTTTAAAAACCAGCTGTCTTGTCATTGGCCAAAAATGCCAGAGCTGTTACAACATTGTTCTTTAGTGAAAGTCACGTGCCATTTTGAGTTTTAAAACCTGTATCGTTTGAGCAACAGCAAGTCTTTTGGTACTGTATCCTCCTGTGTTTGTGAACAGAATCTCAGGCATTCGAGAACAACGGCAATATGAGAAACAGAGTTGTTTTGGCTAAGCAGTGGTATACAGAATTCCTTGTAGGCAACAATTCCAAAGACTTCAATGGCCCTAAAAATATTTCCAAGAAACTGTTGGTTTTAATAATGACTGTGCAATTCACAGTAAGCATAAATGCAAGAGGTGAAGAGATCAACAAGAGTTCTCAGCCGCACTAATTTAACAAAGGAAGTGATGGTGAAAGTCTAAGGTTAAGCTGTTCAGTTAAAGCCAGAACGGAAATTGGGGCAAGAAAAAGAAAACATGGTGTCATAAAAATAATGACATCTCTATTTACAGTAGGAAGATTACTCACAGTACAGTTGTAAATGCTGGGTACAAAATGTTCTAATGGATTCTAGAAAGTAAGTCAGATTTGGTAATTGTGTCATATTGTCACCACAGATATATCAGTTTCTTTTGATTAAATGATCAGGCATTCAGGTAAAGCATATGGCAAATCACATGCTTCGAATACTCAGTGTAGTTATGAAATATAGAAATGTGTCAATGAGTTCTCTTCATGGTAGGTAGAGAAGGGCTTTACTTTAATGAAGGTATTTAATAACAGTAAAAATCAGACGGTTTTGAGAGAGAAGGAAAGCAAGTTCTAACTTGCTTTAATCTAGAATACATCAGTTGGTTAAAACAGCTGAAGGAGGGAGGTGTCAGGAGTGTATAGTTTCAAGTGAGTGGAAATACAAATGCTGCAAGGAGTTACTTTCTCTGGCTTTGGATCATTAAAGCTCTTAAGTGCATTCTTTAAGTGCAAACATTCCCATGGCAGTGATTGGGTGGTGACTGGACAGCTTGCAAGATCAGTTCTTAAAATGTTTATTTTCTTTCATTACTTTGCATATGTTTGGCAGGTTCTCCTACAGCAAAGCAGCAGCAAGCTGCTACATGTCCCTTTTAACTGTGGGTACAGAGGAATTTACAATGTCAGCGTTCTGTAGTGTGTTGTAAAATCTGTGCCACTACCTCAAGTCTTCTCTGTAGATTTATTGTAGCACAGAAATAGTGAGAAACAAACACAATTCAGTCAAGGGGAGTGAAAGATAGGGCCTTTTTTAATCATCAAAAGACCTTTTTTTGTGAGAAAGTTCAAGGAGCCAGAGCCACGTATCACAAGAATTATTACCTCACATGTGAGGTTGGGTAACTAATTAACAGAACTGTATTGTGTACTGACTGAAGTCCTGGCATTTGGTGCACGAAAGGAACCTCCTATGAAGTTCATAGAGAAATATTCTGGCTGTCATCTTTGTGAAGAGAACAATCTGCTTTTATTTCTCAATAATAAAGCGTTTTGAGATTATGCAAGTTCACCAGTGCAAGATGGTCATTAACTGTTTAAGTGACAGTCCAACTACTGCGTGTTGTTTTTGTTTAAGTTCTTTCTGTTTCATTTGCAATTGGTTTACCATTAGATTGCACTTAGAGCCTCTTCTGTGCTTCTGGTGAAGAAGGAACAACCTTTCACATGAATGCAGGTTACAGCCTGAATTATGTAAAGTATCAGTTCCCCTAAATTTCAGTGTAGCCTCTGTCTTTATTCTGTGTTTGGACAAAGCTTAGTGAAGTAGAATAACATCCTCTTCTCCATTGTTTCTATTGATTCTGTGTCTTGGGATTTTGACAGGAAAGGGGCTCTGGTTTAAAGCCAGTTGGATTAGCAATTGAGGGTTTCAAGAATGCTGACATTATCACAGAAGCAGCCAGAGCAATGAGTCTGCATGTGGGTCCAAGATTTTCTTCAACTTTGCTTTGAGCAGTGGTTCTGGTTACAGCTAACTCTAAAAATTTCAGTTCATTCTGACCTTCTTCACTGAGAAGACTTGTTTGCAGCATCTAGACAGCTGAGATCTGCTTTGTACCAAGGACTTCCAGGCAACGTAATAATAGACAATTCTTGTGCTAACACTGCTGTCAGTAAGAGGGAGTTTGTAACTGTTCTTTGAGAGAATGTAAGTGGAGAATAGAATGATTAGCTTTTGGATGTTTCCTTAAAAATGCTACAAAAAGGTAAATTCCAAAATCTACTTACTTGGCATCTGGCAGTGACTCTGCTGCATTATTGTTACTAAATGTATACATGTGCAAAAATAAAATGTGCCCAGAATTATTGCACACCTCCCCATTTCTCTTACCTGCATATTTAAAACAATGCCAAGTGGGCAACACTGCTTGTGTCTGTGCTTTTAGCATCTGGAGAAGGTCTGGGAGCTAGACTGAGGAGGTTGTCCAGTTTGCTTTGTAGGTTATTTAGTAAGTCTCTTTCGAAAAATATTTTTTCTGTCCAAGAAGGAATATAATTTTACAGATGAGATGCATTAGGCTGATTTATTTTCAAGATTCCTTTTTTGTTTGTTGGTTTTAGTTGACTATAACTCCAGTAGCTGAAAGCAGGTGCTGCTTGGAAGATGCTGTACGACTTGGAATTGACTGTATCTGAGGAAGGAAGCTTTTTAGATGCCATTGGCTCTTGCTGCCTCCTTCACATGAATATTATAATGCTCCAGTATTCCACAATGAAAAATATCAATCAAATCTCCTAGATGTGCTCTGTGGGAGAAAATATAAGCAATAAAGTGTGTGCCACTACTGGTTGCATGCATGATGGTGTGCCATAATAACAGAATCTCTTGCTATGGATTAGCTGAATGAACCATTAATTCAACCTTCTGGAAAGAGAATACTTAGTAGTCATACTGAGTATTGTACTGATACTTATCTATGTAAAATAATCCTTTGTCCTTAAAGAAATTCCTATTAATTGTTTACAGCTAACCCAAATTTATTCAAAAAGTTTTTGTGATACAATTTATAAGAATTCTTTTGGATCTCTGGGTGCTTGCCAACTGTTGAATTGTTTATGCGTTTTGTTAAACTTTACTTCTTACTCTAATCATCACTTCATGTATTAACATATTCATGAATGCAAAAGGGAACACGAAGACAAGGAACACATTTAAATATTAATTTGAGTGAATACTTTTCGAAGATTTGATCTGGTGCTATTCAAAATGCAGTGCTTCTGAATCAGGAGCAATAAAGTCACAAGAGAGAGCACTGGAAGTAATCCATGGACATCCTGTTCTTATTAGAAGTGGACTAAAGCATTCTGACAGATTTCAAACCTGCTGAAATATTGTTCATTAATTTTTTTTTCCTTTTACACCAGCATTATTGAGAGCACATCTTACTTATCTGTTTAAGGGTGGCTATGAAAAAGAGGGAAGACAGAAATATATTCGTGAAAAATAGGGTGAGAAAATAAGCAGAGAGTTGACTGTGTGAAGAAAGAAAGAGACACCCTGGGAAAGCAGCAGAGAAAAGGGAAAGAAAAAAAATCCTAATTTTTAAAAATATGACTCTTTAGAACTGAGACCGTGCCAAACCCTGGACTTGGAGGCTGTTCTGTCCTTAATACATTGCACATGATTGTCTGTAGCTAGAAAAACATTTTTTGTGGGTTTTAAAAAATCAAATTACCCTTATATGAAATAAAACAAACTATGAGTTTATATGACAGAGTAAAAAGAAACCAAATTCATTTTGCAAGCCTTTAGAGAGTTTAAAAATCCCTTAGGCTCACAAAAACTCAAACTCCTTAGCGTTCAAATAGTCAAATATTGTAGGAGGTACAATTGACTTAATTCCATTTACTGTAACTAAGTTTTCATCAGACTCTTTCTATTTAGTTAACTGATTCTCCTCTCAAAGCATGTTTGTATTAAGGGCAAGATCCAAAATACCATATGGATACTTCCTGTGCAATCTAGATAGACATTAAGTAAGGAGATTGGTTGTAAAGCCTGCGTAACTTTAAAAGCTATAAGACTGTAGGCAGTTTGGTATCCTTCAGGAATGCCTTTCTGCTCCATATATGAAGTCTAGGCCTCTAGCTTAGCATCTTGACAGACCAACAAGGTCCATTTTCAGATGTAGCGCTGCCTACCTAAGCTTATGACACTCAAACCTGAAATGCCAACTTGTCTTCTACAAAAGTGATACCTATTGATTGGAAGACATAGCTGGGATGTACATGGAGTTATATACTGAAACAAGGTGAGTGAAGCCTCTGATAGCCAATAGGGATATCATGCAATTGAGTGAAGGTAAGAATGGCTGTCCAAGATCGTGACAAGAATTCACCCAGCCCTGCTACTTAACTGGCAGGGAGGTATGTATCATGGTCATGAAGGTGATTTCCAAGGTTGAGCCTCATTCCTTGCACTTCTGGTGACCTGACCACTGCAAATTCTGTGATCTAGGAAACTTCACTGTAAAATTGTAATGTGAGGTACTGTATATGTATGTTCTCTTGAATTAAAACACAATCCCACCTCCAAACTCCCAGTAGTCTTAAGTGGATGGCTAGAGTAAAACACAGTAAAAAGTGATCTAATTGCTGCTTAAATCCGTATCAAATCCATATCAATTTGGGACATCTTTGATGTTCCTTGTAAGGAATTGTACCCATCACATGAAAACTTTATCTTTCAGTTCTGTTTGAATTCTCATTTGGAGCTTCATCTGATATCCCCCACTCTTGAACTGGAAGATTCAGTAAAACGTTGGTGCCAGACTACCTTCTCCATGACATGACTTTACTTCTGCCACATCCCTCCTCAGCCATCCGTTTGCCAGACTGCAGAGTCCTGAACTGTCTGATCGTTTCCTGATATGGAAGTGGTTGCAGACCTCTGAACATATGTCCTTGCTCTTTCCCAGTTTTTCTGTGTTACGTGCCTTCACTGTTGCTCTATAGAATAACGTGTATTCATTTTTCTTAGGATACATTTATAGATATATATGTATATAGGTGAGGATATGTAAGTACTTCTGATGTTTTTCACCTGTTCTCTTATCATGGATGTCTTCTTCCACAGATCTGTTTATTTATGATTGTACCTGGACCAGATTTGGGAATTTGGGTGCCACAGAGTCACAGAATTGTAGGGGTTGGAAAGGACGTCTGGAGATCATGTCCTTCATTGCAGGCCAGTATGTGACCCCTTGACCAGAGTCACACAGTCTCTTTTGCAAACTCATTAAATAATGAGATCAGCAGTCATGCAGTACAGCTCCTCCAAGGCACCCTTACTGCAGCGTGGCTCCAGCCCTACTGCTTTAGGTCATCTCTGAGATGACAGAGCTTGTGGTCTATTTGGAATTGGGTGCTGGTTGTCTATAATTGCTTAGCTGTTATAACACTTTGTTTCTTCTTCCTCTAAGTCAAATAGCATCTGCTGTGATACTTCCTCAAGTGCTTCCTCCTATGGATGTATTGAGTGTGTCCATGTACCAGACAGTGTTAGTAAGCGTGAAGAGTGGCACTGCAGGTGTTAGAGGATACGGGTCACAGAGCAGTTGTGTGCAGACAGTGACCTTGAGCCCCCTACAGACAGGTACCAATCTGTGTTAAAAAAAACAAAAAACTGCTGACAAAAATGTAGGGGAGAGGATATTTCAAGATTCACAGTTTGTGTTTAAGTGTTTAAAGTCTGCTTACATCCAACTTAGATGCCCAGGATCTCGTGAGAAGCTATTTCTTAGCCTCCTTACGCATTAGTATTTCTATCTTACAGAAGTAGTTCCCCTTGTGAGGTGGGTGCATGGACATAGGTAGATGAAACATGCACTGACACTATCTTATTTGGGACTGAGTAAGTCCACAGTTTGACTGAATCTGTAGTAGATGTCACTGAATTGCACAGAAAGTTGCTGATAAGCTATTACATCATCACAGTGGCCTACCACATTCAGCAGTTTCAACCTGGATATGAGGTCAATAATGTCCTCAGTGCCTGACATAGGAGGCAGAGGTTACAGTAAGGATCTGTCTCTACAGTTTCACAAAGATAGTGTTACTGTTATCCTTGCTTAGCACATTGGCTTGGGATACAGAGTGATTTTGCGTTATCTAAGCCATGATCACTCAAAGTCTTCGACTGAGCCAAGAGGTGACATCTGTTCTCCTGCATCCTAGTACAGTAATTGGCCACCAAAGCCCTTTTTGTTCCTTATTCAAATCTTTTGGAAAAATTATAACTGTTCTTATGTTTTCTACTCTTCTCCTAAGAGCAAAACAAATCCTTCGTAGGGAAAAAGGTAGGCAATGATGGTTTGTGGAGCTGGTGAGGATAATCTTTCTTTCAGTGACTTGTTTTTTCCTGTAAGCACCTCCAAATGTTATTTCTCTCTGTGGAGCAGGTTTATAAAATAATGGGTAAGTCATACTAATTATCCTGTGAGCTGTAAGGGCTGTCTGCTTTTCCTTTAGAGAGGAAGTCAGCTTTCACATCCTTGCTAAAATTCATAGCAAGATAGAGAAGGAGCTCATTTTTCACTGCAGTAAAGGAAGAAGGAAAGAACATAGAGGTTTGTGTCTGAATTTGCCTATTTCAATCTGCAAATACAGTGATTTGTAAATAGAGTTTTTGGGTGATATTTTCTCTACAGATGCAGAAAGTTCTGCAACCATGAACTAACATCATGCTGCTCTGTTTGGCTGCTTGAAACGAATATAACTGATGCTGAAAAGTGAAATAAAAGCATCGCTAAATTAGCTGCATAATGTCCAGATCAATGTATCTTTCTATGAGCAAAATAGTGGGTGCTACTCTTCTTTGGGTCATAGCAACTGGTTGATCAATGTCAACAGGTATGTTATAGCTCCAGATTGAGCTATGAAAATGTCAGGGTTAGATTTTGTTATTTGGTACTTCATCATGAAATTCCAACTTGGCTGGATTGCCCACAGGAAATCTTAAACTAGAAATTCAGATATATCTGGGAATAATGTTAGTGAGCAAAGGCGATAATAATAAAAATAATGTGTACTTTCTATAGAGGAATATAAGCCTTTTTCTAAATACAAATCGCTTCTAGTAATATCCATCTCATCCACTTCATTTCTTATGGTCTGTATGAACCTGTTTGTGTTTATGAATACGGAATAAAGAATTCTGCTTTCAAAGCCTTGAAAGCTCTATTACTAGTGAGCTTATGAGGAAAATGGTGCTGATAAACAAACAAACAAACAAACAAATAAATAAATGTATGTTTGACCCATTGCCTCTTTATCACCACTTAAGTGACTAGTGTTAACATCACTGTCCAACTGTATTCATGCACAGGAGCTTTTACTTTGCTTTCCATCACTGAGTAGCTGTGCCTGCATGAAAGCAGTTGCTGTCATGTTAAAAGCATGTGAGATGACCTGCCCAAGTATTCTCTTGGTGATTCTTCTTTTCTGGAGCGTATTCACTAAATGTTCCTTCTAAGTTCCTTTGTTTAGTAATGCATAAGCACTTACATCCTGCTATTGAAATTATTTTTTGCTTACAGTTGAAGTGATGTCATGCATCGTGCACACTAATATAATGTATATTATACATAGGTACTCATGCTTTTTTTAGCCTCTGTTTTATGAGTAGAGAAGAATGAATGAGGACATATGAAGTTATATAATTATTGATGTCTGCCTCAGCACTGTAACCTGTTAATGTCAAAATATAAACCTGCATGATTATTATTGCAAAATAAGGTCGCAAGAGTAGAAATACTCAAAATGCATTGGAATATGAGGAAAAGTATATAATCAAAAGTTATTGTCAGCTATATTAAAGAAAATCGTAGTTGATTTAACTTAATAGTACGTTCATCTCTGAAGTAAGAAATAAGTTAGTTTTGAAGAAATTTAGCTGTAACTATTTTATAGTGCAGAAAAAATTTAAAGCATGAATTGTACAGTTCCTGGGTCAGATTTTTTTGGTATTCTGTTTAGAGCTACCATTTGAATGATTTGTGAGTAACATTCTGCAGAGTATATTTTTCATTCTTCTGCCTGCAAAACAAGAATTGTTTTTATTTATACAAAATAAAGCTTAATCAAAATAGCGTATAACATAGTTCTGAACCAGGTAAGGATGTAATATGTTTTTTGGAAACAATTATCTGTTTATTAGACAATAAGGGTTGTCACGTAGTTTTGTGTTTAAGTATTGTTTTCTCATTTTCCAGAGATGCTTCTTTAAAATGCTGTTGATTCTGTTGACACTGGAGGTTAAATAAATCTGTTGCTCATAAATAGAAACTTATTAAGAGTTATAGTTCCTACCAAAGTTGAAAATAAAGTCTCATTAGATTACAATGCCTGATGTGAGGAATCATTAAGACCATTTAACGATCCTATGAACGACCTACCTTTCATCTGAGAGAACTGGGAAAAGGCAAAGGCAACACAGTTTGTTTTTCTACTGCACCCCATTTGTAGGCAGCAGTACTGCCGACGAATGTGCAGTAAAAAGAAACAAAGTCTGAAAGTTAATACCACAGGCGCCAAACACATGTCTGTGAAAGAGGAATGCAAGCAGACATTTCTACGTGCAGTACATTAATTCCTAATAGGCTCTTTCTATTTAACAAAGGTCAGATTATTGGATGGAACAGAATCCAGTCTCATACTATGTACATTACCTTCCTTAGTGTGTGAAGAGTAACAGCACGGTTGTATTTCCTTGTTATGATTAATAGAATCACAGAATCATAGAATTACTGAGGTTGGAAAAGACCTCTAAGGTCATCTAGCCCAACTGTCCACCTACTGCCAATATTGCCCACTAAACCGTGTCCCTCAGTACTATGACTACTCATACAGAATCATAGAATCAAATATACTTCCACTTGTAACACAGGACAGTTCAGTAGGTCAGACCTATCAGAGCTCACTATGTGGAAATCTGCCTTTTTTTTTTGACAAACAATTCTCTGTGTAAAGTGCTGTGTGCCCCAGAACAACTGAAGGATGAGATGCTGAGAAAGACACGTAGGGAAAGGATGTTGAAAACTGGCATTTTGTTCAGTGCAACACTCCTTCTTCAGACTCCTGCTTCCCTTTTTAATTGCTGATGATGGGATGGGAAACATCAGATTGAAAACTCTAATGTCAGACAGCAGGGCATGACACGAGCTTGCTGCAGTCCCCAGTGAGACCAGGATGGCATTGCCCAAGCCACAGTGCAGAATGGAGCTGTGTTTTTTGGGGCACATTTTCTATCTAAATTTGTGCTCTTAATTTAGATTTTGGACAAATTTGTATGCCTGTTTTTGTATACAAATGACCAATTGTGTAGCTTATGACTGCAGGACTGTAGTTAGTTTTGTCAACATTCCTCTTGGCTTCTAAAGTCATTTTTGTCAACTAAGAACTACAAAGTTTGGTCATGAAGCTAAATTTACACCGGATATGAACTTTACCAAATAGTGCAGTATTATTAGATTAAGGGAAGCAATATTGAAGAAGAATAGTACAGCCTGGAATTTTTTAATGCCTTTGGTACCCAAAAACTCAACAAAAATCAAAATGATTTCTGCATGAATAATTCATTTTTTCTTTTTTTTTTTTTCCCCCAAGAAAAATTGCTCTGTACTGCGTGAATTTGTATTTCAATGATATTTTATGATCAGATTTCTGTACAAATATGTAATTAGTAGGTACAGCTTGTCATTAGCATACTTTGAGCATTATAGATTTCATAGAATTGTGATTATTATTTTCCTTCATGTTGTCCCCCTATCCTCTCCAGAACTTCTTGAGAATCCTAAATGATGATGAGTATAACATTTTTCTGCTCAGGTCATTCTTGAAAACACAATATTTGTTATGATGTAGTGAGAATAAAAGTTGTGAAGAATGTCTAATAAAACTGTGGTTGTACCAGAGCATTTGAGTCTGCTGAGACTTGTTGACTCAAACCATACCACAGCATTGTGTAAATTTTAGGAGAGGAGAAGAAAAGCAGATTCTAGAATTTTTTCTGTTTTCTCACTCCCTCACCACCCCTTTGGGAAAGGGTGAAATTTCTTCTAAAGGTGCAGGGTGTGAAATCTCCAGATGCTCAGAAAGACGTATTTTGGTGTTACATAATGAAATCTGATGTGTGGAAATGCCCTTCGAAGGCTACTTCCTTTCTTTGAGCAACACATGCTGTCATCAGCTATTTTTGATTATCCTGTGAATTATGGTCCTGTCAAGGCAATGGCTCTGGTTACAAATGCTCCTTCATGCGTAGCAACAGACGTAATCGTGAGCATAACTTGGCCACTTGCAGTTGCATACGATGCTACCTGTGACACTTGTTGGCATGGTCCTTGATGAAAAGCTGGGTCAAGACTATGTTTGTAATGTTTCTGTTGCTCAAAGACAACATAGTAACTCCTAAAACACACAGATTGGAAATGTGAGAAAAGCAAAATGACAGATGTTCAATCAACAATAAAAAATTTCTGTTCTTGTTTCTTGGCTACCACATACGTACATGTGGAGAAAGAGTGCACAAGTCTTTTAGGGTGGCAATTCATTCCACTGTTGTGATGCGACTGCAGAAAAATAATTGCTCTAGTCAGTAAAAAAGTGAAAAGCTTAAACATAGGAACAGCAGATTTGAAATCCAGTCCCTGATTTCCACCTTCAAATGAAACTACACAGTACACAATGTTTATATTTCTTTAGTAGTACAATGAGTAGGATAAGTTACTATGCTTACTTCCATGCTCCTTTAGCAATCTAAACAGTTTAATTCCTTGCTGTTCACACTTTTGTAAGAGTTACTATATTTTACTTTTACCCTTAGGCTATGCATTAACCTATTTTCTCTCTCAACATATAATAATCTCTACCTCCTTTACCTGCATTGTTGCTCTTTGCTGAATTCCTTCCAATCTGCAGATGTCATTCCAGTATTGAGGTATCCAGATCTGTACACAGAGTCATACAAGACAGATCAATGTATCCTACTTCTGTACCAACACTATTGACTTATAAATTTTTAAGCTTATAAATATCTTGACATTCAGTATCAACTCAGTCTTTTCTACTAAGGCTGCTCTTTCTCAAAGGTTTAGAGTTATTATTCCCCATATATGTATTTTGTTTCTAAACTGAATCTCACTCGATTTTTTTTCCACTGGTAATTTTTTTTATCTTATGGTTTCATTTATGAACACTGGTTCAGTTTCGATCTTTTATCTGGCATCTCATCACTAGAAAAGCGGCCTCCTTTGATGAAGTCAGTAGCTAACTCTAGACTTAACACCATTTCCAAGGAGAAATTCAGTGCTGCTACTCCTTACTTCCATGTTTTAAATTAGAAAACTAGCTTCAGCATAGCTTCATACTGACTTGTGGGACAGTCACAAACCACGTGCAAATTCAGCGTCTAACTTTGTACTGCTTTCTATATCAAACCATGGCAAGGACCAGTATGCAACTCAGAAAAGAAGATGGAAAAAGAACTGCTCCCAACTCTGCATAGTCTCCTGTTTCAGCAGCCAGAGGTGACAGACCCAGGCAGCAGTCAGAGCCCCCACATGCAGACTGATCGTGTCCTTCTGAGATGATGGAAAACAACCCCCAAAAAACCCACGTAGGTCACATGCTGGCAGTTGTGCCTGCACCACCTTTGCCAAAGCACCACCAATCCCCCTGCAATAGTGCAGGTGTTTACTGGCAAGGGGAAAGCCACAGGCACAGGAGACGTCTCTCCTTGGAGTCACAGCTGCACAGTGAAACACACCCCCACAAGATGCAAGCAGGGCCACCAACCTCCAAATGCAAACCTCCTTCCTTTGATTTAGTGCTTGCCTCACATTCTCTTGTACGCAACAAACAAGTTATTTACTCTAGTAGCTGGAAGGGGAGAAAGTGGATTTGTGTTTTCCTAGGTGTTTTGGTAGTACTTTGTTATTATGGTTGAGTGGGTTTTATGCTACCTAAACAACCAGAAATATTCCAAAATAACCTGGTTAACCAAGTAATTTAGTTAGCTCTTCAGTGAAAGTTTAATTTAACTCCCCCTCTCTGAGCAAAGCTTTTTTTTCTACAAATTAAATGACCCCATTCAGTTCCTTGGTTGATATTTCAGGACAGCTCTAATCTTGAAGCCCACAAGGAAGCATGGAACATTTGGTTGTAGGGCTTATTGCCCCCCCCTCTGTGCTGCCTGCTCTGTGACCACCGGGATCCTTCCCAGGGCGCTAAAAGCATCGGGGATGCAGCCTTGCGTCGTCTCCCAGGCATGCCCCTACCTGGGAGAGGAGAGAGTGAGCTTACGTTTTTCTTGGATGATCAGACTTAAGGGCAGAGCAGCCACTCATATCTGAAGAACTGTTTTCCTGCATTCTGGATTCTGATTTTGTTGTGAGGAATAAGGATGATGCAACTGCTCAGAAATGTTGAAGCAAAAGAACAGTCTTTAAAAATAATTGCTTCCTCCCTTTGTAAAGTGGCTACTCTAAGCCTTGCGAATAGTTGTAATTAATCCTTAATACAAGTTACAGTATCTGTGTTACATTGTTATGTTTACTTAGATGTAAAATGCCTTATTCTTTACAAGGTAATGACATAAATCTACTTTAGTCTCCATGACAGGCATGGGCAGCTCTAAACCAAAACATTAGGGGGAGTGTTAAAAAGCTAGCAAAATGCCAATATGTTAATTAATTAATCATAGGCATGTTTCAAAGCATTCTTTACACATCAGGTGGGGCTCCTGGGCTATTATGAAATGCCAAACTTCCCTCAGGGCTTTGAGGATTGCACTTCTGAATTCCTCAGAAGTTCAGGGAAGTAAAAGGGTATGTTTTTGGTATGAGTCACTGAAGTGAGGTTGGAGATAAAGATTTCTTATTTTGTTTTATATTATGAGGGAGCAGTAACCAACTAGCATCTCAGGAAGGAACAAGGTGGAAAGCAAATATGAAGTTTTACAAACCTATGAGCCTATTGTTCTAAACTCACTTTTAATTTAGAACTGATTTCATTTTTCTTGACTCAACTTCAAGTTCAACCCCCTGGTACATATCAGCCAACCTTCTCTCAAGTTCTGGGGAGAAACTTATTGCTTGTGCCATCTTCTCATGTAATGGGTAAGTGAACATACGTGCTTTTTGCTGCTGAGTACCAAATATCCTTGTTTTCTCCCAGCTTTTGGCTGTGGGTCTGGGAAGTACTTGCATGGTATCAATACACACAACTCCACAACTCCAGTGCCTCAAATAATTTCATTCAATTTCAATCAAACTCTGGACTGAGCATGAAATATCATGAGATTTGAAGAAAGAAAATATCTAGCAGAATTTATGGTAATTTGCTTTATTTGTTTTTTTTAATCCATAGGTGCCAACATGACAGCTGGGAGGCATCCTTGGAAAGGTTCAGTCAGATAGCTGGATGGGCTGGAGTGTGTCAGGAGCCCAAAAAGAGCTCTCAGCATGTTGATAGTATAAAGTAGGACTGTCTGAAAACGGAGATGTCTGTGTGCACAGATAGCAGCCTGTGCTGTCACCCACTGTCTCATCGCAGCTTCTTGGCCCAGAGAAAATAGGTGGTGAATTGTGGGACACCTGCTCTGCCTAGAACTTTCACTTTAACTGGCAGGAAGAGTAAGTGTAATGGAATTTTTTAAAGGGTTGGGCAACTCTGTTTACATCTGACTCACGTTGCATGTAGATTCATGAAATCTAAAGCGATTCCTGGACTAGATACAGAAGAGAAGTGCCTCACATGTCAGGACAAAGCTAGCACTGTGCGGCATGTTAGTGCTGACGGAAGGTCACTCAGTTTTGAGTTTTTTCTAATTAGCATTCTCACTTAGTATCTCATGCTTTACCTGCGGCAAAGTTGTGTAACACCCTGGGAATGCTTGTCTGCTTTCTCAGCGAAGGTGCAGAGAAGAGACAGTGTTCAGAGAACCCCTCCTAAGTCCTGCACAATTCAACCTGGAATATGTTCAGGCAGGACTTTGGGATTGCATCCAGTACTGTGGAGATATCACCGATGAAGCTAGAAGATATCCACATTGTTGGATATGATTCAAAGAATTTTCAGTCCACTGGAGAAATGAGAAGAGCAGAAAAAGCTTTTCTTCATTTGGAACCTTCACAAAAGCTCATTCTAAGATGAGTTCAGTGTGCAGTTAAATTGCTTTGTGAAAGATGCCTTGTTTCTCAAGAAAACAGAGCTTCAGCAGAACTTTAAATATTTTGGTTGAATTCTTCTAGTTTGTTCTAAGACTTTGGTTGATGTTTTAAAAATATGTCATCAGGAAAGGAGAAAAGCTCAGATGAATGTTGGTGAGAAACAAGAGCAGCCTTTCACCTGGATTTGTTCTGCAATAATCATGGGAATACAAGCATGAACTCAAACAAATATGGAAAGGGAGTGGCTTACTCAAAGCCTTATAAATAAAGTACAAAGTTATCACAATGGGATCTTTAAACTTGGTAGAATGTTTGGTAACCAGGAAAGATTTGGCAAGGATCTTTTATTTACATTCTCCTGGATTCAGCTGTTTTAGCTATTTGCTTCTTGCTTTCAGCTAAAATGAAAGCGCACAGGAGAACTCTTTTACGGATTTAAAATAGGTATTACTGTGCATTCTTGTGTGTGGTAGGAGAATATCTTGGATTAAAACGTTAAACAAATATTCTAATAAAGGAATTTACTTTTTTTTTCCTGTTAAGGCGATCGTGAAATAAGTGTGCCCCAAACACAGCTGTGACACAACTGAAGAAGTGTAAAGGGAAGGCATTAAAATAGCTGCAAGTCTTGACTTTTAATAATGTTTTGTATTTAGTTTTTGTAGAGCTGCACTGCCAAGTGGCCCGTGATTTACAGAGCTGTCATGAACTTGAATACAGAGGAACAGCTTGTTTTGAAAGAAGCTGCAGAACAAAACTTGTTTTTTTGTTACTGGAAAGATGTGTGCTTTCTTTCAGTATCAGCAGGCAATTAGAGTTTCTATGGGCCTGGTGTTAACAGAGTTATAACAGCATGAAACTCGAATAATACAGTGATGAATGAGCCTGCAGATTTGGGATGTGAGGGGGAAATCATGTGCTCTGGAACAGAAAGATGTTTGGTAGAGAGAAGGATGCTGCCACTATATATGGTCACTCCTTTGTTCATGTTCGTTCAGGAAGAGCCACACCTTGGACGCTTGATGGTTGACACCGCAGGGTGATAACCGGCTGTCACTTCGCTGTACATGTGGGAAGAGAGCTGTAATGCAATACAGCAATTTGGACATGCCCGTTTGCCTGTTGCAGCTTGTGTTATTGTTGTCTCATGCTTGCGATCACAAATACGAACCGAATTTCTGTACCTCTGTCCACTGGTGTGCATGGAGTGGGGTTTCTCGGAAACCATACCTAGATAATTCTGAAAAGATTTGTTTCTGCAGCGTAACTACATATTTACAGGAGCTACTCCAGAAGTAATGCCTCCTGTTTTATAATGTTGGCCCACAGCGTCAGAGGCAGACAGTGCTGGTGTGGCAGTAGAGGCTGAGTCTTCCCACCAGTAGTCTGTTACATGTTGTTGCTGTGCAACTGATGGCAGCAGAAGGGCACTCTGACCTGATGATGTCTGACATGGAAGCGCGTATGAACCAAAGGTGTGGAATTGAATTCCTCTGTACAGAAAATATTGCACCCACTGCCGTTCATTGACCCTTGCTGAAAGGTTATGGAAACCAAACAGTGGATGTGAGCACAGTGAGGTGGTGTGATGCATTTCAGCAATGGTGACAGTGACATGAAAGATAAGGCATGTTCCAGATAGTCATGCACAGCTGTCACACCACAAAATGAAGAATGTCTCAATCACCTCATCCATGCAGATTGGCTAGTGGTGATGACTATGTTGAAAATAGTGCTTGGTAGCTGAGAATTTTCTCTATCAAACAGAGTTATTGTGC